GTATGAAAAATAAAAGTTACCTAAATGTAAATAAAACGAAATGAAATTCAATTTTCCTTCTATTTTATTTTACCTTCTAATTTTGATTTGATATAAAACTTAACCTAAGTGGTAAATATTTTTAAAACCACACCATTTTGGTAAATTTCTTTTTAAAATAAACTACTATGATTTATAAAAATTAAAAAAAAAAGATAGGGAAAAAAACATTGTTAATTTATAGAATTTTATTGTTTAAGATATTAAATATAAAAATTAAAATTTACTAGAAACTAAAAGTATTAAAGATAAAGACCTATAATATAAAATATAACACAATCTTCAATGAAATTTGCTCCATGTATTACAAAAATTTTAAATACATAAAATAAAAGTAGTTATTTAATAATTATGCCATCAAAAATGACACTCAACATGTCGTAGTCAATTTAAATGCTAAAAAATGACCATAAATATTGTTTTAATGAAATTTAACTGAATTTATTAATATTGCAAATAGTACACATCTAAACAACGGATTTGTTAGAAGTGTTCAAATCTGATCATTAAGCTACCGTCAGTCATAATGGTAGATGTGAACACTTCAAAAAAATTCATTACCTAGATGTGTACAAAAAAACGAAGTTACCCATAGGTAAACAAAATGAAGAGATAATTATCTTGACAAGTGAATTTCCTTTTTTTCGTAAAATAAAAACGTTTTTTGAAACGCTAATTAGGTTTTTTCGTAGAATAATATTTCTATGTTTTTCATTTGTTTCTTCTTTTTAATAGATTAAATAATACAATTGACTAGTCAACATTTTTGCTTTAGTCAAACTGCTTGTTTAATATGATATACCTAGATATGTTAGGAGATTGCATGGTTTTTATTTGTATGCTTACAAGAGTAACTTGCCCTAAATGAACAATAGCGTATGACAGAACATACGATTAAAAACACCCTTAATAATTAAGTAATTATTTTTAACTATAGGAGTAAATCACTAAATCAGGCTCATATATAGCTAGATAGACTGGGGTTGTTCACCTAAATTTGTAACACGTATTAGTTTCTTAGTGTTTTATTTATATATACTTAATGTTTAATGTTTAAATACAAATGAATACCTGTGGCGATAGTAGGCATCGAACAATCTCATTCTAATCATGATTATCATATACATGTGAAATCATAATAGTCCAAGTAAGTAACTCATCAATTCCATCAATAAAAACTCTAGCATAGACATCGTATCTAGTCCATAATTTGTATAGTAGTTGATGTCGAACATAGAGCATCCATCTGTTATACCATACTCATGACAAATAGATATCGATCGAAACTTGTAATTTTCATCACCATTGACATCTTGTATACTCATGTCATAACTAGAATTTCATTCCTTAGTAGATGAATGTTTATTGATTCTAAGTTCGGAATTCCGTTTGAAGGTTGAATTGCGGTTGCATATTAACTATGTGTTGTTTTTCCTTTGTTCAATTTTATTAGATCCAACCCAATAGATTTCGACGTATTTGAATAACTACTAAGAGCTTGATTTATAGAATTAACTCGTTTTTTTATGTCTTTTCAAGGTTGGTCATCCATGAGTGTTCCTTTTGAATTACAACTCGTTCATTAGTGTTTTACATGGTTGTAATATATATCTCTAATTCACCCTCACAACAAATACACATGTTTTCCACAGAAATTGATGGTTCTAAATCAAACTTTCTCCATAATATATCTATCTAATCCAAAGAAATGCACTCACATGCATTAAAATACAATTAATATATAAATACTCAATATATTAATTAAAATTTAAAACTACTAATTTGACTAAAATTATGACGTAGTTTACAAGAATCAAGTTGATATCCACTTAATCATTGAAGTTCCTTTGTCAATATATCTAGAGCTTTAAGTGTCACAAAACCTCGCAACAATATGAAACACGGCAAGTTGTGTTCGTGTTTGAAGACAGTTCTATTCTTTTCAAAACTTTCATATATGGTCCTAAGTTAGGACCTCAAAAACCAATCAATAGGACAAACAAATTTTTCTAAAGAACAATTTTTTTCACATATGTACTTTTTTTAGCTTTGCATGCCATGGTGCCATCGATCCAAAAAGAGACAACCATATCCGAGACAAACATATCCTTATATTTGTTTATCCAAACTAGACCCGGATAATTTAAAACATGTGGATTTATATTACATGTTATTTATGTAAAAAAAAATCTTCTAAAATTATAAACAATTACGTACACAATAAGGAGACTTGTACCTCAATATTTAGTCGACACTTATTGGAGTAGTCTGTTGTAATTTTCAGTATACAATATACATGTTGGATAGTCAACAAGTATAGTCCGCGTTGTACAAAAGGAGCCACACTCGGCTTGTGACTTGATAGACCGCCCACAATGTTTTAAATGTTTTCAATATGTCATCTTCAAAGTAACTAATTGCACACCCCATACATTATGATGATGAAATAAAGCTTTTTAATTTTTTCATTAATCTATTATAGGTATTTTATCAAAATCACAAAATGTGTGGGATTCCTTTCGTGCAATGAGGATGTTGTTTACCAAGAATTATAAAAAGACTTCAATCAAACAAATATCAAAGAACAAATCTTTTTATTGTCACTAAGTGTTTATCATTTTAGAAATTTTTTTATACATAAATAACATTTATATAAATCTAGGTGTTCTAAAATATCCGGGTCAAGTTTGATTAAACCAATATAAAGAAATCTTTGTCTTTGTTTAGATTGATCGCACCATCTCAACTTTGGAGAACGAAGAATAGAGATGAGGGCCAACATGCAAAGCTAAAGGAATACTTATGTGCAAAAAAATTGTTCTTTAGATAAACTTGTTGGTTCTGTTGATTGGTTTGTGAGATCTCTAACTTACAACGATACATTGAAAATTTGAAAATAATAGAATTGTCCTTGAAGACGAACATAACTCGTAATGTAACATCAACTTGACTCCTCAAATTGGTTGTGAGCTATATCATAGTTGTATCTTGCCATGTACTTACATGTTATCAGTCTAATTAGTCAACAAGATAGGCATGCTCAACAAATATTTTTAAAATATAATTTATATATTGAACTTCTATAAATTAATTTTATTTCGATGCATTTGAGCGTATTCCAATGGATTCTATAGTTGTATTTTGAAATAAATAAATAAATAAACCCTCAATCTAACATCATTAACTTTAGTGGGAAATGAGGATATTTGTTGTAATAAAGAATTAGAAATGTTTAAAGAACACTTCACTCAGCACCCAAAAGCCAAGAAAGAATAAATGTTAGGAAATCAAAAAGATATATTCCGGCTAAGTAAAACACTTGTTAAAAAAACTGCAACTCAAAAGGCATGTAGACGACCAACCTTGAAAAAACATGAAAAACAAATTGATTCAATAAATCAAGCTCTTAAAAGACCTACCTTTCACCATGCTAAAAACCTATGTTGGGTTTGATCTAATAGAGTTGGATACGAAACAAGCAAGACATAATTCATATATAACCGTAACTCAGGCTTTTATGAAATTTCAAACTTTGAACCAAAAACCTCAATCATGATACATTCATCCACTAGAGAATGAAATTTCACTTATGTTTCATCCTTTAATCACACGCATAAAAGATGTCAATGGTGATGGAAATTGCAGATTTCATGCAATATCTATTTGTCGTGGGTATGATAAAAATGGGTGGTGGCTTTATGTTCGACATCAACTGCTATACAAGTTATGGAATGCATACGATGTCTGTACTAGAGTTTTCATTGATGGAATCGATAAACTACATACTTCATTGCATTTCTTACAATATGAATGGCTTATTGCCAATACTTTTGGTGTGATCATTAGTTTTTTAACAAAGCAAGGATTTGTAACTTTGTTTCCCATTTGGAAAGATCCAGAGAATTTTAGTAGAATCTGTTAAGATTTCACATGTATAAGTCTATAAGATAATCATCATGTGATGGTATTTTTAGAGGAGATTTTTCGATGCCCCAAATGCAGCTTGGTGAACAGCTTGATGGGAAAGCATATATGTCACGTGGGGGATTGTACAAATAGCTGAAACATTGAAATCCCAAAACATCTTTTATAACTATAGACGATTTGTTAAATGATATTACTCTGACTCTAATTTTTGTATTTTTGCATTCATTTTTATTTAATCATTAATTAAATTATTAAAAAAAAAGATGTGTTGATTAATCTTTATTAATCTATACTAATAAATAAAGATCCACTATGCTAGATATCGTTTTCTCATTCCATTTAAACTGAAATGCTCATCTTAAATGCCTTCAATTTAGGAACTTATTGTTTTAGGAAATGATTGTTTTTCCAAATGAATTCATTTTCCCCTAATCTTCAATATCAATAATTTTCTTCTTGTCTCTTTCTCTTGCTTCCAACGACCTTAACCATTGATTTCGACTAAGTCAGAATTATATAGATGAGAGAGTAGGGATGGAGTAGTTCTCAGTGATTATGGTTGAAAACGAGTCTAAGGAGATGCCACGTCAGCCAACACAGGTCCACTACCAACATGGCTACCATGTGGCATGGTAAATGCCATATTTTCTAAAAAAACAAAAACAAGTCTAACAAATTTTGAGCTTTAATGGTAAAAAAAAAAGTTGATGTTAAGGTAAAACCATTAAAAATATGTAAATGGTAGGAAATGATCAAAATGGTGAGTTTTTTAAAAATATGTAATGGTAAATGCCATATTTCCCTAGCTATAAAAGTAAAACTAGTTTTAATGATAACTTTCGACTAAGAGTGTTTTTCAGTAAAATGGTGAGTTTATTTAGCTTTTGTTCAAACTTCAAAGTTAAAGATATTAAAGTTGTAATCTTTTTAAGTAAGAACGTATGCATACAACTTACACACAGAGAGTATTAACACCTATGAATGTGTAATCATATCCCCAACTAATTGATTCAGCTCCTTACTCTTTTCTGGAGTTATAGGTAGCTCTAGAGTAACCTACACTCACAAAAAAACAAAGAAAAGATAGATGAAAACTCACCACACAATCATTTCCACAAATAACATTTTCCTTTTGCATTAATTTCCCATTCTCATTGAAAAGATAAGCTCACCTCTTTGAAGATTACACTATGAGAGACCTCCTTGAAGCCCTACAAAATCGACATTGAAGCATTTAGTTAGAAGCAATATGATAAGGAAAAAGAAGTATTTAGTCAAAAGAGAGTCAAGAACCAGTTTTCGGAACATATTCAAAGAAGCTTCATTTGAATCCCCAATTTTGGCACGAAAGGTGTTGATTTTATGATTTTCAATGGCAAAAACTGTCATCATCAACACGGATTCCATCCCAAGTCCTTTGCCACGGCTTCTCTAGCAACAATGGAGATGGAAGAAAATGAAACAGATAGATAAACATCATTTTATTCAGACAACAAACTTAGAATTGGATTAAGAAAACAGAGCCTATACCTTTTAGGTTCAGCTATCATTATTTCAATCTCAGCCAGATGGGAATCTTCCAAATCATTCATGTATATATTCACATCACCAACCATGGCTGCAAAACAGAAGAATTGTCAATCCCCAAAGTATGAACTCAAGTCGATTGATTAATGAAACTCAAAACTATCGATCTTTTTCTCCAAAGCTCAAAGTCAATGTCGAACGGAAAGCAATACACAAATCTTACCCTTGAGCAGAAATTTTGATATGAGGAAGCGAATTCAAACGATTATAAACAAATAAAAATTAAGAGGGTAAAGGGTAAAATTGACCTTCGACATGAGGATCGCCATGAACGAATTGTCCAGAAACCAAGTCTTTATCCAAGATGATAAAAGTTTGTTCTACAGAAAGAGTAGGGTTACAGTTATGACGGTAGAATTGAGATAGAAAAATAGAATGGGGAAAGCAGAAGTACTGAGGGGGTCTCGAGTCCATGTAAGCTGCATCTGGTACTCTTCTTCGAGAGTCAAGGGCTCCGACCCGGTGGCTTGTAGTAGAGCAGGATCTTGCATCCATTGATGGTATTTGAGGACGTGTTGATTCATGTACGCTACCAATATCGCTTTCGAACCCTCCAAGCTCACTCCCATTGTTTCCCCCCTTTCTTCTCTCGGAATTGTAACTTACACGCAGACCATCAGTATCTATGGTAATGGTATATGAAGTTATGACCCGAATAATAATGGGCTAATCATGGGCTTTTTGGCTTCTTCATTCGTCGAAACCAGTCCTTATCTGAAATGGTTGGGCCGTATTGAAAGATGTCTCATAATTGCAAAATTTTCATTAAATCGCTAGTAAAATTTCAAAGTTATGAGAAAATTATTTTTGCTAATAAAAGAAACTTAATTTAAAGTCTATATTTTTTATATATATTTAATAAAAGATGTGTTGGATTATGTTATTTTTATTATAAGGTGAATATTTTTAATTTATTATAATTGATATCGTTTAAACTAAGGTGTTCAAAATATATATATATATATATATTTTTATCATATTAACTTGAAATATTTTTAATTTATTAAATATTACAATTTAATATAAAACTTTTTAATTGTTTCATACGTATGGTATGGTTATTGATTATTAAGCAATGGGTATTTGAATGGTTTTTAGAAAAATAAAAAATTATGTTAAATAATTAAGGAGCTAGTATAAGTGAAACATGATTCTTCGAATTTCTATCCCATATAATAATTAGCTAGTTTTAACGTTGTCTCATAAGTGTCATATTAAACAAATAATGTATAATGATGGCATCAAGCCTGCTAACCAAACAATTCAAATTTTGAGGTTATATTTTCGATTTATTTGCTTAAAGATGTGCTAAATTATGTTATCTATAATTAGATTAATTTTGAATTCCTTTACCAACAGGACTTACTTTTTATTGGACCAATTTTTTTTTTTTAATAATGTATTCATCTGTTAATCACCGATTCTAGATGCTTCCCACTGCCTTTCTCTTAGTTGACCGTACGCGTAGGTTAATCAGACATTCCATTTCTTCCTTCTACCACTCCTTATCTAAACCCTCTCTTCTCTTTCTTCTTTCCATTGCTCCTTTGTTCTCCAAACGCTTCCTTGCATTCTCATCACATTCAAAATCGGAATCGAAAGGGAAAGCCCATCACAACTTTTGATCCTTTCCTCCAATTACTCGAATCTACCGCTTTCATTGCTATTTCGACATAAACCCTACCCTTACTTCTTCGCTCTTTCGCCTCCTTTCTCGAATAACCGTCCTTGCTGCCTTGAATCGATGGAAAACAGGTCGTAGGGCAGACCCCTTCTCGTCACCACCATCAGATATCGGATATGGAAGGCAACGAAAGGCAATCGAGTAAGGTACGTGACCAATTTACGTTTGTTAGATAATCATGTATCTCCGATTTTTCCCTTTCATTCACTCACACCACCGACTCTTCTCGCATCTACAATAAATGTCGAGGAAACCCCAATCTTTAATTTCTTTGTTGATACTTACATGTTTTTATTATTTTGAGTGAATGTAAGGCTATTGGCTGAAAAACATATGGCGTCTGCTCTTTGTATGTTGTAATTTTTTCCTCCAATTTCATATGATTTTCATGCTCTTCAGTTCTGGTGCAGTCACCGGTGTTATTTCAAAGTTGGCCATCAATTTTCACCTCAACTTGAAGCCCTTCAACGTTTTCTCAAAACGGCCCAAACCTAAAAGATACATGTAGGCCGACGAACCTGGTGATGTTAATTTTATTTTGAAGCGTTTACACATGAACTAACTGATCTTTTTAAAAAATCAAATAAGAGATTAGGAAAGCTATCTTCTGTTGGACGTGTTGAAGATTAACTGTCAGGAAAAATATGTAGGTATAATATATGTAACTTTTATAGTGGATTTGAAGTTTTTATATTATTTTTTTAATCGACTGAGTTGTCATTTGAATCTATTATGTTATGGTTTTATGGCAACAATCTTTAGCCACTAATCTTCAAAGTCTTTCAATGGAGTTGCTTTTCTTCCACTTCCTTTGTTTCTTGACAGTGTTTTCTTCGACTAGAGAAGAATAAACAACTAAGCAGTTTCCACAACGTTGGGATTTAGGGATTTTTGGTAAATTGTTCTTTACACCCAAATAGATTGAAATTTGTCCAATTTCTTATCTTCCCTTCCTTTTTATTATCATAGAAATTCAAGAAAAAATTGTTGCTACATACAAAAAACCTAAGTAAGAAGATTACAAAGATTTGTTGCAATTAAAATATATCATGATAGTTGGCAGTTCCATACTCACATTAATTTATAATGTAATTTAAACTAGTGAAATGGAACACCATTCTTGTCTATGCATAGAATATTTTTTTTTTGCCACATTTCCTATTTCTAATGTTGCCCTTTTAAGATTTAACACCTTATGACTTATAGTTAATAACATGTGTACAAATAAAGATTTCAACTTCAAATGTAAACTTTACATACAACAACAATTGCCTTTTTAGTGATGGTGAAAAAGTTAATATAACTTTTGAGAACTGTATTATGTAAAAATGGTAATTGAGGCACTCATAGAAGTTAAGTGTTTTTTTTCTTTATTTTGAAACAAGGAATTTAATAATTAATAATCCACTTAGATATGAAAAAGTAGCTACCATAGTATCATCCCATCTTTCTGTAGGCATTATCCTCTATATTAAGAAAAGGAAATTAACAATTCAAAATCCTATTGCTGTCCACATGTTAAAAATTTCAAATCCTAATGAAGAAAAGAAAAACTTAGTGAGACTGAATATGTATTTTATCAAAATACGTCCAACTTCATTTCAAATTTCAGTTCTTGAAATCTTAGAAAAATTATAAATACTATTGTGAATATGCGAGGAATGTATGGCATAAACTAGGTTCTATGCCTACAGAAAATCAATGCACATGTATATTGAGATCATTACAGACCTTTATCTTACTTGGAATGATAGCTTAAGGTAAAGTAACATCAAATTAACTGTCTTTTTTTTAGAAACTTGTTGCATTTCTTGTCTCACCTTCATTTTGTGTTTGTGGTTGGTATATCCACAGAAGAGAATAGATGGAGATTCTATTAAAGCAGCATCCACTGATAATAGCAGAACAATGGAGTTTCTAAGTTTTTTGACTTTAGTACCCATCAGCTATTTGCTAAAATGTCACAGCCAACTCTACCTTTTCTTGCTTAGTTTGGTTTCAATAATATGTGGATCTATGAAAAAGTTATGATGTTGGTTGTAATATTAAATATGGTGGTGCTAAAACTGATGATGATTCTTGGTTATAACTTTCAATTGTGGACTCATAGACATTTGAACAATACCTTTGTGGAGCTGTTTTCATCCCTGAAGGTTGTCCACATCAAGTTTATTGTTTTTCTTATCATTAAAAAAATGTTTATGTCCAACATATGTAAAATTATATCTTTAATCAGTTTTTATTCATGGTCTGGAGTAGAAGTGGTGAATTTCAGTTGTTATTACCTAATCAAGTATCTTATTAATGAAGTTGAGGATGATAAATATTGATTTTTTTATTTTTATTTTGTGGGCTTATAGTTTCATTGCAACATAATGTTTCTTAAGAAAATTGGTCCTTCGCTATCTTGTATCCGATGCATACCTTGCTGTGAATATAGCTTGCTCCCATTTTATGCAAGTGCTATCTTCATCTAATAACTTGATTGCTCAACCATCACCAATAATATCATTTTGTTCTTATATGAATTAAGATCGACCCCACAATGCGGGAGAATATTTTCTAGTTTTATATTACAAGTTAGAATATATATATATATATATATATATATATATATATATATATATATATATATATATATATATATATATATATATATATATATAATAAACAAAATTGATGGATAAAATTTAGATTTGTATTCAAAGAATTGCAACTTCTAAATCATTTATACTTATTATATGTGTACTTTATTTGACTAGTGTAACGCCCGTAAATTCGAGCTAATCATTTTGAAGCGTTAAGAATGAATTCTTGATAGAAGCTTATTTAGAATAAATAATCTCAACCAAAGCTATAGTATATGTCACAAGGATTTCGTACATATAAAGAACGCTGAAATCCGACTTATAACGAAGAAGTTATGACATGTCGAAGTTTTGCAACAAAACCAGCACAACATGTCGTAAAAAGTGAATTTTTGATAAACTACTTTTTAGCCTTATAAATCTAAACTAAAGTTATAGTAGACGTTAAACCGAAATCGTTCATATAGAGAACGTCAAAATCTAACTTCGTATGAAGAAGTTATGATTTTTCTAAGATTTTGCATAACAATACACAACCTAGAAATCGAATTTTAGATCGATCGATCTTTAGCTGACACCACCTAAATGAGAATTGAAGATCTCGTTAGTAGGAGCTCAACGATATAAAGACAACCGAAACGTACGTCAGATGACAAAGTTATGCATTTTTAACAGACTTTAACTGCTTGAGTATGTTAAAATATAACTTTAAAAATAAAATCAAAATTAGCCGAAGGAAGAAATAATAGATCACGTCGCTACCTACGCGTGGATATAAACAACGTCAAAAATGGAGCTCGTATGCGAAAGTTATAGAATTTAGAAGATAATTAGTGTTTAGGATTAACCAGCAAGTGACATGTGACAAGATCTGGGCCACACCTTCCTCCCCACGGCTTGGAACGAGATTGCGACACCTGGACGGAGTATGACCAACGTAACTCGAAGTACGCCCAACGTACTTCTGTTTTGGCCATTACGCCCAGTGTACTTCTGTTTTGGCCATTACGCCCAACGTACCCTTGCATACGCCCAACGTACGCGGGTGCTGGCGGCCTATAAATAACACTCATTTTTCCTCATTTCTCCACACCAATTCACATAAACTTCTCTCCCAACACCCCCAAACCCTCAAGGCTTTTCCTGAGCACTTCCTAGGTGTTATTAGTGAGTCCCGGAGCGCCAAAAGGCCCCGAGAAGAAGATCTTTCGGCTCAGAAGTTCTGCCTGCATAGAGCCCGGTTTCTCGCTAAACCACCTGTAAGTTAAGTTATGCTTACCGTACTTTAAATATAACTTATGTGTAAGTTCATTATCGTTATGATGAACCTATAAACAAGATTTATCAGTGACTCTAAGTTATTATACCGATT